CAAATCTACAGTGCTATTTTCGTGCCAGAACATTTCGAGAGATTAAGACTTAAACGAGGACAAAAAAAAGAACCTAATATCTATAAATCACCTCAATTTATTTACTTTTATATAAGTGTCTCTGGAACACAATATAAAGAAAATGTGTATTTTAAAGAGATTTCTGGTTTTTAGGATATTAGCCAAGAACGAATAATATAATGAGATATCTTGCAAAATAAAATTCAAAAGTATATGACACTATAATAATTATCATAAAATGTGGAGGTTATAAAATCATTGAAGTTAAATAGTGTCATTCGATATTCTAAGAACTCAAAAAACTATTCAACTGCTCATAAAAATATTTATTCCATTAGTTAAATCCATATATTATAAATATTAATAATTAGATAGGTACGACAAAATAGGAATTGTTTATAATAACTGTATTTACTTATTTATAATTTAAAATATAAATGTATTAAAAATTAATTTCATTTCATATTTGATATCATTGTATACATGGAATAATCATAATTATCTTGTAAATTAATCGATTTTAATTGTTAACTAATGCAATCAATTATACTTGTAAGCTCAGTAATTATAAACAAAATCAAATTGTATTATTCTATTAATAAAAAAAATACATAATGTATATTAATCATTAACTAAAAATATAAATCTCCAGTATCTACTGATATCTAACTATTTTAAAATTGAATAATTATTTTCAAAAGAATAATCAATAACTAATGATTGAAATGCAATTACCTAAATATCCATCAGTATAAAATAAACTAGTCGTACAATCTTTTTTTCAAAAATTTAGTATTTAAAACTAAAATCAATTTTATTCACATCGTGACTTAGAAACCTAATAACCGTTTGAAATGTATCCATAATTTTGTTTTTAGTTAATAATACGATATTAAAATATGTACCGAACATGTTTTTATTATTAGAATATCATTAACAAATTAACTCACCCAGAACTCGGCTCGGTTATAAATCCGAATGACAAAAAAAAAAAATCCGACCGGGAAACGCTAACACAACGTATGACCGATCTACGTAAGGACTGGGGATGCACTAACAATTTAATATAATGTACACGTGCTGCCGAGGGCGCGTGTTGTACGGCTGCCACCCGGGAGTCTGCGCCACGGTCGATTGACAGCGAAAGAAAAAATAAAATGATAAACGATATTTAAATAAGAGAAAATAAAAATGTATTTGTAAAATGTGAAGTCATAAAAAAAATACACACAGACATAATAGTAACAACTTAAATTTTATCAACGATTATTTCAGTCATTAATCATTAATTTATTGGATTTACAAGAGAAGATAACATGACAATATAAAATATATTTAGAGTCGAGATATAAACAAGTTTTTATATAAAATGCTAACAAACCGGGAGTGGGGCAACCATTAGAAGGAATCTAAGACAAAACAATAATTATTATAATATAGCCAATACATGGACGTATATATTGTATATTATATTGTATTGTTGCGTCAATATCTGCATAGTTTAGTAAAACAGCTCCGTAATTTAATTAAAAATAAAAATCGTTGTTTTTCGTGCAAATATTTTCAATTTTACTAAAATGCTTTTGAACAAAAAATAATATTAATTTATATTTTTGGTTAGGTTAAGTTATTCTCAGTTGTGTTTTTAAAAACTAAAACCCTATAGTATTATAGTTAAAATGCAATCGCCAACCGATAAATTAGAGTCTATGATATAATATTTAAACTGACAATCGGTGAAAATATGTCTGTTGAATTACTATAATATTGTAGAAATCGTTCAGCATGTCATCGGTTAACGTTATATAGGTTAATACGCACCAAAACTTAAGTCCCTGCTGAATTCCCTATGTTTATTTGTATCTGGGTTTGTACAATTTAACGCAACCAGACTACGTGGTGCCTTTGATGTCTACTTTACGAATATAATATGAATTACTGACAAAGTACTCAAAATCGATTTCTCGCTTATATATGTATTTAATTTATTTTCGGGACAGAAAACACCAACCTAAATAGGTAATTGTGTCTTAAAATCAAAACACGAACAAATCACAATACAAAGCAAATTCGTTGTAAATAAATTGGTTTTAACGGTATAGATCGGTCACCACCATGTCATATATTATCACACTATTAATACCTACCTGTAAAAATTATATACAGTGGAATCTCGGAGGGAATACAAATAAATTCGACTTATGTTCTTTCCGAGTTATAAACCACCTGAAACACAACTCAAAAACACTTCGAGTGGCAGGAAAAAAATTCAAATTCTTCGAGGTTCGTGTTATCGAAACTCGACCGTTGTAGTACCTACTATATATACGAAGGATTAAATCAATATTAAACTAATACATTAACAGAGATGCGGATAAATAAAAAAAAATAAAACCCCCTTGATGGTTTATTTTACATAATAATAATAATAATTTAATAAAATATAATATAATCCAAAAGTCAAAAGTATTATAATATTCTCTCATTTCAATAAAAAAAAATAACACTCGAACACATCTCCGTAAATAAACAAGTCGCGCAACCTAACGTACATGTATTGGTATAAACCAATGGTACATGGTATACCGTCATATCACTTGCCCTATTGACAAGCTCCAAACCAGAAGCTGCTATCGTCTTACCCTCGTCGAAGCTAATGACTGTCTCCAAAATCAATTATCGGGTCAGCACTATTAGCTTACGACGACGTTGGCACACACGTTTGACCGTTTTACGTTCGTTCCTTCCGAGACAGTGACTCGAGAGATCGCGCGAACACCGCAGTGGTCAGTTTGCTATTCAGTTTGAGTAAAACTTCGTCGAATCAAAGGTCGTGCCTAAATCCAACCGCTATTGTTCGGTTAAAAGGCCACGAGAACGTCAAACGAATTAAATAAAATATTTAACACGGTTAAAACGCCACTATTATTGATTTAAAATAAACGTGATATTTTAATAAATTAATTCCCTTGTCTGTGCATTACAATCGCTATACAATAAGTCTTATCCGCGAAAACGACCGTCACACACACGCACACACACACACACACACACACATACACTCTACCTGCCGAACTCTAAACGACAGCAGCCCCGGGACTATCCCGTATTCGTCATCGCGACGGCACACGGTTTAATTGCAATGGTAGAATTGTCATTTATTTATTTATGTGGTCTCAGCACATTCGCTTCACCGGCCTGACCTACATTTCATAACTCGCTCTTGCTCAAATCTAATCATTATTCCGTGTCTTAAAGAATATTTGTAATTGACTGCGCGTGTACCCACGGCAATATTCTGCACCGGGTCTTGGATCATTTCTAAACACCGAAATCGAATAAAATATCCTGTCCCTCATATTGTGTACGTGATCACCTGATATTGGATTTGATTTTAAGCCCATCGTCTGCTCCCCCCCGCACGTTGCGTTCTCGATATCATAGAATCGTTGTACCTATAAACGCAAACGACTCGACTGGCGAGAAACAATTTGGTCCTCGGGGCATTGCTATACGCACAGCAGACACCCGATGAATATCAAAACCGCGAAACCACCCCAGCCCCTTGCCGGACGAGACGCAATAGCTGCATTTATATTTAATTATTTAAATATACTATTATATCGTAATATTTTAAAAGACTTATGGAAAAATTACTTAAATTAAGTCTAAATAAATTAGACTTTGTGCAAAACTTAAATTCCGAAATGATTTTTTTTTTAATGTTTTGTTAATATTTTACAATAATAGTTTCAAGAAACAAATAATATGATATAAGTACTTGTATATACGGGTTTTTAGAAGAAACTAAAACAAACGAATAAAATAAACCATCTTGCAATCGTACTCTATCTAAAATCAGGATGAAGGAGGTAATTATTTAATTATTTCTCATTGTTGTTTCGCTTAAGCGTGGGGGTAAACTACCAACCGCAGCTGACCAACAATATTTGATTTAATCACAAAAATCACGTACTATTAGTGGAACAGATTTTTTTTTTTATATAACAACATGGAAAATTGATAAATATACCCGTGAAAACAAAAATATTTCACATCAAATGTAGTACAAGGTTTCTTATAAATTGTTCTTACAATTACAATTTAATAATATCAAAAATGTGTAACATCAATTTTTTTTACTAAGTATATAATAATTCAGCAGAAGTTTAAATTTGGACGAATTTTGATGTATAAAGAAAAAAAACAATTTTATTTACATCAAATGTAGTACAAGGTTTCTTATAAATTGTTCTTACAATTACAATTTAATAATATCAAAAATGTGTAACATCAATTTTTTTACTAAGTATATAATAATTCAGCAGAAGTTTAAATTTGGACGAATTTTGATGTATAAAGAAAAAAAACAATTTTATTTACATTGCTGTAATTCAAAAAATATTAATCATTTTGAGTCACAACTTGTGACTTGAAACTGTTTGGTGTTACATAAATATATAATATTATTTCCTATAGGTTCACAATTAATTTTTCAAAATATTTTGATACATTTCAAATGATTTATACGACGAAACTTCTCTCATCATTCGTAATTTTATAAGTTAATAAAAATAATATATAATATAATATAATAATAAAATATATGCGATTAGGCATATTGGCAAAAATTAGTTCTATTCACTACTTTAGTCTTCTTTTTCTACGCCCTTCAATCCCAAATATATGGGGTCGGCCACCCTTTACTACATCTCCATAGGGCTCTGCCCCTCCTCTCCTTTACAAACCCCAGCTATATTCGAGTAATTCTCTATTCTGTCTATCCATCTCTTTTTGGTCTTCCCCTCCTTGTCTTTCCTTTTATATATTCATTTCCATAGCTACACTCGCTGCGTCCGTATTACCTCTCCTCATAACATTAACGAACCATCACAACATATTCTCCCTCGTTTTGCCTACAACTGGTGCCACTCCTACACTACCCCTAATGAATTAATTTTGTATTCTATCCTCCCTAGTCACAAAACACATCCACACATCCTAACTACCTTAGCATTATCATATCTGCTACACTCACGACTCATTCTCTGCTCTGTTTTATTGTCCACTACCCAACATTCCGATCCATACAAAATTACTAGCTTCACAACTGCGTTATAAAATCTACCTTTTACTCTTAATGGCATACTATCGTTACACAAAATACCTGATGCATCTCTCCACTTCATCCATCCACACATAATCTTGTTTCTGACTTCATCTTCAAAACCACTTTTGTTTTGTACCACCCATCCTAAGTACTTAAACCTATCCACTTCACACACTACATCACTCCCCATCTTCATCACATGCCTTGTCCTTTGAATTACCCAATTTTAATATATCGACCTACCTTATAATAAAAAATAATTTATTGTGGTAGATTCAATATCTTAGAAAATATATTAGAAATAGAAGCCAACCAACACCATTTAGAATTGTTTTTCGTCAAATGTAACATAATGTCCATACATTATCCCTACCCGATGACAAGATACTCTCGAAACCAATTTAAAGATATCGAACTTCCCGATTTTTTAATTAATATTTTTTTAAATATTTCAATACTTTTAAGTTACGTATACTTTTTGTGTATTATATTTCAATATAACAATGAATAATATTTAATTGAATATATTGGTTTTTTTATGTAAAAATGGCTACTTCTATTCAACCACGAAAAAAAAAAAAATAAATGATCAGATATATTAAAAAAAACTTCATATTATTGAAATCCCTCAATATTCATTATTCAAAACAAATGCTCATTTAAACACGATATTCCTGACAGGCACTTCATATAAACGTTCCTTCAAAAGTTTTCAAAACTTAAAGCAGTTTTAACGTCAATTCTCAGCTTTTATTTGTGATACCATAAACTGCAAAGGACTGAGTATAAAACTTTCTGTAACGCACTCAAATGAATGCAAATTATTTTCCCTTCAAAAATGTCAATAATATTATTTATACCATACACGCTCTAAAAATTCGTGGCATGTGTATAAAACTTTAAGCCTAATAAATAATAGGAAGGTACTCAAAAATTCAAAATATAATTTATAAAATTAAATTATTTCCAAAATGAACATAATGTATGTTTTGATAATATATTCATTATTTGTACTAGAATTAATTCTATATTTTCAACTGTAAACAATTTATTTTTAATTTTATAGCACTTGCTCAGTTGGACCCATTGTATTCTACAGTAAATAAATAAACAAAAAATAAGAAGTACTTTCTAATCTCTGCTTTCTTGTAAAAAAAACTTGCTGACAAACGTACGCAAGTACTGTTTTTTTTTTTAACGAAGCAAACAACAATCCCCGAGCCTCGAGGATTATGTGAGCGACATTTGGTGCCAATCGGTTCAGTAATTCCCAAATCTATAGGCCCCAAACAAACGTTCATTCATTTGTATAGTATATTATAATATAAATAAAAAAAATTAATTTGCGGAGATCAGTTTCGCTCGTAAATTCAATCGACACGTGGACTGATTTTGTCGAAAGGGCAACATAATTGTACAGTAGCGGTTTGTCATCAATAATAGCCTACAATATAATTATTACCTACACGGGCTTCAATGATAATGGTCATTTCCGTGACAATTTTCGCGAGAATATAAATACGAGTGGAATGATATACATTTGCACAGTGCATTTTCAAAACAATCAACAATATAATACAATACCGTATAAACTCGAAATATAGAAACCTACTGTATTCAGATTTATTTGCAAGTGTAATGACAAGAGTCAAACATCTAAGAGTGGTCTGTATAAGCACTGCCTTAGAATACACAAGTGATTTATTCAAATTCTATGCAAATTTTAAATCGCGCTTTGTTTTATTTATCTCATTACTTTTGTAAACTTATTTCCTACCATCACTTCGAAATCCGATAAATATTATTTGTCTATAATAAAATGCTGTGATAATTTTAGGATTTCAAATTTCTACGATATGAACGCTGAACAGGTATTGAGTATGCTATTAATTAAATCGAAACAGTAAAACGCCCGCACTCTAATGTCCCCGTTCCGTTCTGTTAATTGGGTGCTATATTATTCGTTTGATATTATTTTTCATTTTGTCGATTCCGTTATTTCATTTGACTGTCTATAACTTGTTCATAATAATATGTTCACCTGCTTTATGATATTATGTTAAATACCTACCACTAATTTTACTTTTGATGTTATTTTGATTCTACATAGTAACTGTTTCAAAAAATGTATAGATAACCAGAAAACGGTCGTAGAGGGGCATTTTTTTCACTTGTTTCATAATATTATAGATTTTTTTTATAAACTGATAGTACCCTTTAAAATCAATAAATTAGTTATGACATTTTTTTTATCAATTAATAGATACCTAACAATTATTTTTCCCACTACAATAATATCATATTATTATTATTATTTATTATTTTAGTTACTGTTTTAGATGTCTTATCTTCTTATTATTATTCATGGATATAAATATTAAACATTTGTACGAATTATAAAACCTGAAAAAATCAATTTCAATCAACAATTTTTTTAATGTATAATCAATTATTATTAATAATATTAATTTAAATTAAAAAATAATTTTGTTTCACTTTGAGCAAAAACGTGATCCCAGATAAAACAAAATATATCATTATACAATATACACTGTACAGCCAATAGCTTCCTCACTCGGTTCAAAATACACTGTATAGTATTATAAAAATATTATTATACAATATACCAAATTACTAATTCTCTCATTCAAAACATATGGAGGCGTGTCTAAGTCGTGAAGGAATTCATAAATATATTACCTACTAAATAGCGAAAGACGCGTAGACATGAAATAAAACAAAATCTTATCAGACAATTAATAAGTCTTTTTAATGTTATACAATATTTTTTGGTGTAACTACCTAATTATTCTAGTGCCAACCTACGTACATATATACCTATATAAATGTATACATAATGCTCATTAAAAGAAATATATCTTTAAATGTAATATACGATTAAATTAAGTAAAATGTGTATTAATTTGTTTTAATAAGTAAAATAATGATGATTTATTATTTAAAAACAAATATAATACATAATTCACTATTAAAAAGTAAAATTAATTGTTTGAACCCCTTGGACGTTCTGCGATTTAATAAATGTATAAGTAAATGGTTTCAAACAAAGACCTGCATTATATAGACACTTTTAAATTATGGATACATTTCCTGTAGTAGGTTATGTTTCCGAATAACATTAATCAAAAATGTAATACTATATAGGACCTTTTAAATTGTAATCCTAAGGGTTCGATAAAACTTAATCGAGAAACTTTGATATGAGTGTTAAGAAAGGTAATAAAAGCGTACGGTGTACATTTTCATTTGGATGGAAATATGTATTTTCAATTGGCGTCACATGATCAATTTAAATCATTTTTCTTGACTACTTACATAATAAACACAGAAAATATATTTTGGAGTGTCATTAATTTGTAATGGGTATTTTTTTTGGAAAAATTACTCGTGTAGTATCTATGTTTTAAAAAAATATGACACATTATTCTTTGTTCCACGCTTATAATATGTACCTTGTACTATTTTGTCAACATTATTACACCATAATTGTAATATGGGCTGACGCCCTTTTATCTTTAGTAAATAAATGTATAAATATTAATTATTTGTTGAATAACATCAAACAATAAACAAGTGGCCAATAATTACAAAAATAGGAAATACGAGACGATAGTAAATAAACTAAAAATTGACCACACAAATCCAACACCTAGATACTTTATGGTCTGCAAAAGAAAACCTCCAACATGCCCCACCTTCCGTGAGATTAAACTTAAAATTAAATATTTGTCGACCGAATGTGGCCAGCATATTACAGTACTCAAAGAATATGGACCAAGGTACCCGATCAACGATACACGAAATCCTATGACCACAAATAATAGAAGCGACAAAGAAAATAATAACATTTTTACGATCAACCGATTTATGTAAACTAATTTATTGTAAATTAAGAAATAAAAATCTTAATTAAATATAAATAGCGAAACATAAATGTAAATTATATATTCTAGATTCGTCGGGTGGCTAATAACCACGCTGTTGCCGAAGCGTATTTTATTAATAAATATATATATATATATTATATATTATATATTAAGCAGTTATGAATAAATTATAATCAAGATTAAATAATCCGATAACTATAATTTGGTTTTGGATTAATTTTAATGAACACCCTCCGCCGATATCATGTACGGAGTGATCACAATGAATTCCGTTCATCGGAGATAATAACATGTAACTACATAATATAAAACAATATTGCTCGTATTAAATATCCGCCATTTTTGTAACAAGGACCTCCGCCGCTCAGCCTTAAATTACCCACAAGTGTAAACCGTAAAGGATGCGATGAAATAACGTGTAACGTATTTTCCTGGGAATTTATCTATACGCACAAATGTAGGTACGTGTGCACTGTGCACATATTATATAATGTACCTACATTTATTGTATTTAATTAAACTAGAGATTTCCTTTGCCTGCAAACCTTTTGATGATCATTAAAACTGATAGGTCATATTAATTTAATCAACCTCCGTGCTCTTACTATCGCAAATTTCTCAATACTCGTGAACTACCACTAACAATCAAATTGGATTACCATCATCGGATGTCGATGGATTTACCTTTTCACGACTGTGCAGCTGTTTGTGCGCAGCTATATGAGATTTTTATTAAAATAACAATTAATACCGAATCGAATTTTTCGATTAAAATCTTATTAAAAATTCTACCGTAATTATATAGTCTGTCCGCCGTCTATAGATGTAGAAGTGTATTATAGGTATAAGGTCAACATTAAAATACATTTTGTAATTATCATAATTCCAGCAAGATATTGCAAGTCTCAAATTTTAGTTTGTACCTATATACGTAACGATTTACTTTTCTTATTTACATAATAATTTATTGTGTGTTTATTAAACCGCAGTTCAATGCTTACAGCTGGAGGAATGAATATTTTAGGATACATTTAAATACCATTTGAAGAGTGACTTATTGTCGGTAGTTTACCAGAACATAATTCACTTTACATACGAGTTTTCAGGTGTAATAGGCAATGTTTATTAAAAGTATTCAGTCATCCCTTCTCTAAAGTTGAAAAATTCCAATGAGTTCAAACAGTCATAAACGCGTGTGTTTAATGAAAGGTCAATCATTATTTAACCTGGTGGCGACATGTGATCGATTATCATCGTATTATAATCTAACTAATACTGTTAG